CCCCCCCCCCGACTTCCCAGAACCAATACAAGGTATAAATCGTTAACAAAAACAGTTTAAAATATACTTCACTAAACTCTCTTGACCATCGGCAGGTTGGCTTGTCTCCAACTGACCAGCCTTTCTCTCTCCTTTTCATTTTCCAACCACTTTCCAAACAACGTGGGTTTTGGTGTTGTTGTTTTTTAAAGAATCCGGGGGACAATATTTATTTTCATCTTCCCAAACTCCCACCCGCTTTTTTCTTCTCGATGCAAATTCTGCGAACGATATTCTAGAGCGGCGAGGAAGCTGAGGGTAGAGGGAAGGTCGTCGGAAACGTGAAACAGCAAGGGGGGGAAATACCGGTGGTCTGAAATGGGGGAGGTCCATGATGGGGAACCCGTGGCACGCAGAGTCCTCTCGGCACGCACGCCGTAACCAGCTGCTCTTCACGGGCGCCGGAGTGCCAGGAAATGGCCTGAAAACAGCCGAAAAAACTGGCCAAAAACCAGATCATTTTTTGGGGGGGGCATTTTCAGGTTATTTTGGGGTGTTTTCAGGGTGTTTTCGAGCCAGAAACAGGCCTGGAAACAGCCAAAAAAACCAGCATGAAAATGGCCTGCAAAACAGCCTGAAAATGCATGCAGAGTTAGGGTACTCAGTGCCACAAAGCTTTGCCATCACAGGGATAGGTGTTTCCTGCCTGAGCAAGGGGTGTGTGTGTGTTGGACTAGAAGACCTCCAAGGTCCCTTCCAACTCTGTTCTTCCGTTAAAGGGATGGGGATCCAGGCAGTATTTTAAAGACCTTATTCCGTTTGACAGAAAAGACCTTATTATGGATGAAACTTTGTAGAGTTTTTGGTTTAGCATTCCCAGGGACAAAAAAAAAGAAAAAGAAGAAAGAAAAACCCTTTTACAGTTCTTTCTTTCTTTCTTTCTTTCCTTCCTTCCTTCCTTCCTTCTTTCTTTCTTTCTTTCTTTCTTTTCTAATTTTCTGGCTCTTTCTAAACGTTTTTCATTTAAAAACAAAAACAAAATTGTTTTCTGCGTGCATTGTGTGTGTGTGTGGGTGGGTGTACAGATTGCCATAAACCGTTGCATTCTCTTGCCTTTTGTTCTGCAAACTACTAAAAGAGTTTTTTTTTTAAAAAACAACCAAGTATGTTGCTTTTAAAAAGCTTGCATGAATCTCCTCCAGGGGAAGAAAAAAACAAACAAACAAATCCGAAAAGCTTTATGACTACAATTAATTTTGGAAGGAAGAAACGAACAGACGAGATGGTGTTCCAAGATAAATTTCTGTTTTTCTTCTCCTTTTTTTTTATTTTCCTTTTCAATTAGTGCCTCTGTGGGTAAAATCCTCTGCCATTTTCCGGTAGTCCTTGACTTACGATAAACCGGGACCAGAATTTCCATTGTTAGGCGACGTGGGTTGTTAAGTGAATCATGTTCGATTTTACTATCCTTTTTATTTATTTTTTTGCGCCACGCTTGTTAAATTAATGTCTACGGCCTTTCAGCAAATCCGGCTTCTTCCATTAACTTTCTTCTTGCGCGCCAGCTGGCACCACATCATCCAAGGATAGTGCACCAGTCGTAAGTCCATGCCAGTTGCCAAGCGGCCTAATCGTTTGCTCATGGGACCCTAGGGAAGGGAAATTGTAAGTCGCTTTTTTAATCAATACCGTTGTAACTTTGACTTGTCGCTAAATGAATGGTCATAAGTCGAGGACTCCCTGTGTACGTATATTAGCTCCTAGGCATCGGATGTTTTGCGATGGGAACTTCAGAATATAGCATTATGCACCGTTCAAAATGGTTTAAATATAGTTTTCGGATGAGGCCTGATGACAATTTTTTCCCCGATGGACTCAATGGAACTGAAAAATAAACTTCAGCACCATGTTTTTTTGCCTTGATGTTCCTTTGGCCTTTTCCCCCACCCCCCCGGGGCTGATATTTTGAAGGAAGTTTAAAAAAAATACTGTGAAATTTCCATAATAAGAGAGTTTACACAAGTGCTGACAATTTTATGAAAGCCACCAACAATGTTCCCTACTACACTAAGCCAGTATTTCTCAAACTTGGGGACTTTAAGGTGGGTAGACTTCAACTCCCAGAATTCCAAGCTAGCTGGGGGATTCTGGGAGTTGAAGTCCACCCATCTTGAAGTCCAGCCAGCAAGCTGGGAGTTGAAGTGATGGAATTCATTGATTGATTGATTGATTTAATAAAATTTATAGGCTGCCCAATCCCGAAAGACTCCAGAAAATAAAGTTTAAAAAGTGAAGAGTTAAAAACAAACGGAGGAAAACAGATGAAAAGAAAGCACATCATGCACCCAGTCTAATCGGGGCTGGACCTCGGTCAAGAGGTCAACAGCCCCAGGCCTGCCGGAATAGCCAGGTTTTAATAGCCTTTTGGAAGGTCATGAGAGTGGGTAGGGTCCGGATCTCTGGGGGTAGCTCATTCCATAGGGTTGGAGAAGCTACAGAGAAGGCCCACGCCCGGGGAGCCCCCAGCCGACATTGTCTGGCTGACGGCACCTGGAGAAGGC